AAAAAAAAAAAAACCGCCTAGGCCGCCTAGGTTGTGCCTAAGCACTCTAAGCTCTAGGTTGTGGGCAACCACCCACCATCGCCTAGCGCTTTCTGCAACCTTGATATTATTGAACTTGAACAAAAGTTTATTGAATTGAATTGCTAAGAAGTTAAGGGCCAGGGGGTCATTGTCTTCAGATCTACCTACATTTCTTCTTCACACCAGCTAGTGAGGTTGTTACTCCTCTTGTGTAGTTGTCACATTGTTCTTTCTCATTTATCTTTACATTTGTTATTGACTGCAGGTACAGAAAGTTGCTATCCAGTGTGGATTTGACCAAAGATTTTTTCTACAGTTATACATATCCTATAATGCAGAGTTTGCAAAGAAATGTATTGTCCACAGGGGAAGAAGGGATGCCATATAATAATATATTTGTTTGGAATGCATATTTAACTCAAGCTATTCGATTGAAATGTTCTAACACTCTCTGGACAATAGCATTAGTTCATGGGCATTTTAAACAGGTATATGATATTTCTCGAAACTCAAAAGTAATCTTCCACTTTTTGTCCTTATATATTTGCCTTCCTGGTTGTGAATTTTGTCTCCTTGAACATCATATCTCATTTCTTGTTTATTTCTGTTTTCATCTTGTCGTATTTGATCACATAGAGGTGATACAGTCATCGTGAACTTTTGTTAGCTAGATAGACTTTTGTCGTTTTATTTTTTTTGTACTTGATCAACGTACTTGCTGATTCAAAAAAAAAATAAAAAGTGATCAATGTAGAAGACAATTGATGGTTTGAAGGTCATTCAGATAGAAATTTTGCTTAGTTGGGATAGAAGTTATCCGAAAAGTTGGTTAAAATGGAGTGAGACTTGAAAACTACTGTGAGAAAAAGGGATTCATTGAATATAGTTTAGCAAAATTGGACAAATATATCAAGGTAATGGTATAAGCTGTGACTATGATTGTAGTGATGTCAAATCAAAGGAACCAAATATCTTTATGTCTTTCTTTTTTGCAGTTTATTAAAAACTTAAAAGCAAGTAGCATTTTTGGTTTAAAAAATGTTTAGGGTCTTCTATACATTTTCCCCTTGTAAACTTGATCATGCCTGCTTGGTATTTTTGCTTAACTTGAGTGCACTGCATGTTAAGTATTCATCTCCATTCTACTTTGTGATGGCAGACCAGGCTATCAATCTATGGGAGAGATTTCAGTGTTACTCTAGTTTCAAGACGTTCTCGGCATTTTGCTGGGACACGGTGAGTTCATTTCCTCTAAGTTTATCTATATCAGTTCTGTTACATCTCTTTTTATTTGGAATTAACTGCTTCTATTAGAAAAACTAAAAGTAGGATTCTTGAGATTCTTTGGCATTAGCTTTAGTTAGTTTTCTAGAGATGCTATGTCAGCTTCATTAACAAAGGAATAATGGTTCAGAAATGCTCTCTTGTGGAATGAAGTGCTTGCCATTTCATAAAATAATGGTTCAGTTGAATTTGGGCTTCATGGTCCTGGTTGAAGTTGAAGGGCTCAATTTATAACAAATGAGCTTAAAGGGCTTAATTGCGAAATCCTTATAATTTCAGATGCTACTTCAAAGTTCAAAGTTTTTTCCTGTTATGTTCTCATGTTCTTTAAAGTTTATATGCTTTGCTGAATTTATTTACTTTAAGGAATGGAAGGATGATGCACCATTCAGTAGATGGAAGAGCACAAAGCTTTAATTTCCTTTACTTGCATTTTAATGATTTAAAATTTTTTTCTGTCTCCTTTTATTTGCTTCAGTTACTTGAAAAGGGGTGTGAATGATCGAGGAAGGGTTGCAAATGATGTTGAAACTGAGCAAATTGTCCTTGAAGAAGAGGCTGGTTCATGTAGGGGAAAAATGAGTTCTGTTGTGCAGATGCGTGGGTCGATCCCCCTTTTCTGGTCACAAGAGGCTTCAAGATTTAGTCCTAAACCTGATATAATCTGTAAGAAATCAATTTGATAACATCTTAGTAATTTGTTGTTTAAACATATGGTGCTTTTTCTATAGATCTTCATCTAAATAATTATTTTGATGTTTCCTGTTTTCAACTCAGTACAGCGGTATGATCCCACCTATGAGGCAACCAAATTGCATTTTGAAGACCTGGCAAAGAGATACGGCAATCCAATAATTGTGCTTAATCTAATTAAGGTTGTTTTGAGTTCACTCCAAATGATTGCTCATAGAAAATGTTAATTTTCCTCACAGTTTATTGAATGCTTGATCTGTATTTTACTTGAATCAGTTCTTCTAGTTAATTCTCTTATTGCTGGTTGTTCTTAAGCTGATGCCATATCGTTTATGCTAAAGTAAAAGGATGATCAAAGTCCCATTTACAGACCCTAGCAGTTGTCCTGCCAAAAGGTTGAGGTGGGGGGGCAGAAGGTCAATTGTCACTAACATGCTTTAGTTGTGTACTTGTTTGAATTTTTGTTGAGTTCTTTTCATATTATATTGCTAAATGTATTGAGGAATTGATATTACTAACTAATACAAGGTTTCCCTTTTTTTTTTTTTTTTGGTTTATGGAAACTAACTCATACAAGAATGTAAAACAGTGGTGATTTATAATGGCTTATTATTGACTGGATTTCAGAAAGTTTATCAATTTCTGCTTCAACAAGTTGCCAGTACTGATATCAGACCTTTCTAACAGTGTCTTTATCCTTGATTAGTTACTGGAGAATTCTGGTTGATTATTCTTTCTTTTTGCTTTTCCAACTTACTTAGCCTTAGTTGTAAAAGTGCAGCAAGTTGAAAAAAGGCCTAGAGAAATGGTGTTGAGGCGTGAGTTTGCACATGCAGTTGGATATTTGAATACAATTCTCTCTGAAGAAAACCATCTTAAATTTATTCACTGGGACTTTCACAAGTTTGCAAAGAGGTGTATTTTTCTCCTCATCCATTTAAATGCTCCCATTTCTTCCTCTTACCCATCTATCTTTCTACATATTTCTCGAAATTGGAACTGATTGTTTTGTTCTTTCTTGATCTCACAGCAAGTCTGCCAATGTTTTGGCTGTTTTGGGTGGTGTGGCTAGTGAAGCTCTTGAATTGACTGGTTTTTACTGTAGTGGTAAACCCAACAATGTTAAGAAGAGAGCCAACAAACTCACTCGAGCAAGTACTGGCAGGTATGGATATGTCAAGCCATTGGTTTGATGCCATTTAGTCATTTGTGGTGTTGGAAAATGGTTTCCCTTCCATCGTACATTTATTTATTTATTGCAAGTATTTTGTTTTTTCCTTGTTTGAGAATTAGCTTGTTCAATTGATGTTGATGTTGGAAATTGAGAAATTCTACTCTTACCATGCTTTTTTTCAATGAAGCAACTGATACCCTGGTGTGAATCTTATCTGTACATATTTTGAGAAGTTTTCCATTAACAACCCACTTTATGATAAGCCCCCAAACCATGAATTATTGTGCTACTGGAAAATTGTAGTTTCACATTCAGCTTTTTCCAAGTTTTAGTTTGGTCCACTATTAATTCATTTAACTCTAGATCCCCAAATCCCAAGTTTCTCTAAAATTTATACACCTCAAAAGTTTTTTGGAATAATCTGTTGACAGTTCAAACCCTTGGAAACGATAAACAGATTCTTGGTTTAAACATGTTATAGGTTTAAAGTTTTTAGAGTTAAGAAAAGCTTATAAAATAAATTTATTAATATAAAAAGCATTAAAAATAGAGTTGTTTCTGTATTTATTTTTGGCTACTGAAAACATAAACCCTAAAGATGTCTTAAATAGGGAAACTGATTGTGTTTTTTTTCGTTCTACCATATTGGGCACAAAGTTGATGGTATCTTTTAAAAAAGCGCTTTTGAGTGTAATCATCATGAAAGCATCCTGTTGTTGGCTTGTTAAGTGTTTCTACTTTTTTTCTCAATCTTTATAGGGAAGCTCCTCTGAGAGATCTAAGAGTTAGCTCAGGGGATCATCTCACCCGCACTGGGAACAGTGATGAGACAGTAAATTCAGTAACCAATCAAGATAGAGAAGCTGATTTCAGTCAGCAAAATAAAAAGGATAATCATGATGGTGAAGCTGCACGGTTTCAAAGTGGTGTTCTGCGCACTAACTGTATTGACTGCTTGGATCGTACAAATGTGGCTCAGTATGCTTATGGCTTGGCAGCCTTAGGCCGCCAGCTTCATGCAATGGGTTTGACAGACAATCCTAAAGTGGACCCCGATAGTAGCATTGCTGCAGCTCTCATGGACATGTATCAGAGCATGGGAGATGCTCTTGCACAGCAATATGGAGGCTCTGCTGCACACAATACTGTAAGATTATTTTATTTATAAATCATATATTGAACAGAGAGTTAAGGGGAAAGCTGGTCTTCAATCTTGTGAATTTGTGAAAATGCACTTCAAACTCTTCTTGTGTATCTCAGGTCTTTCCAGAGAGACAGGGGAAGTGGAAAGCTACTACTCAGTCTGGAGAATTTTTTAAATATCTCAAGCGATATTACAGTAATACCTGTACTGATGGTGGAAAGCAAGATGCAATAAACCTGTAAAGTTTGAAACCCTTACTATGTGTAATTGATATTACAAATCCACCATTATTTTGCCTAGTATGGTGGTTTTCTTTTTATCTGGTCCTAGCATGGTGGTTGATATGCATTAAGCTTGTGATTATCGTTCTATAACTAAATAATTAACTATTAATTGATTTGCCTCTGAGATGTGGGAAGCTTAATTCTTTCACAGATTTCTTTCCAAAGTGTTTTCATTATTTGTTTGCATGCTCTATAACTCTTAACTTTTTGGTGTTTTTACCAGATTTTTGGGTTACTTCAAACCACAGGAAGGTAAACCTGCTCTCTGGGAGTTGGATTCTGATTATTATCTTCATGTCTCTGGGATTGGTGATGAACTTTTTCCTGATAACTGGTAAATTTTCTTGTATTGAGTCTATTGACATCCATGCACGCACGCACGCACACACACTAACAATTAAAGGGGGTAAAGAAAGAACAAAGGCTGGGCAAATTTGAAATCAGATACAGACATTTATTTATTTTCTTATTTTCCTTTATTTCTATCAATTTCCAGTTTAAAGGATGATAATAAGCCTGTGGGAATAGTTGGAAATAGCCTTGCTCCTATTCCAGCTTGCCGAGAAGATTTTTCACGGATGAAATTGACATCATTTGATAAATTGTTAGAGAGAACATGTAGTACAATAAAGGATGTTAGACTGTGCAGTGAACCAGATGATAGACCAGGGGGTCCAACTGGAAATTCTGGTGTGGCACCAGATGCAGCGTAAATATTCCTTTAACCTCATCTATATATTTGAAATTATTTTGCAGTCTGCATTTTCTGCTTAGTCAACTTTTTGTTGCATTGCATACATGCATTGTTGCTCTTGAGCATGTGTATGATATCATTTGACTGTTTAGTTTTGAAGTATTGTTTATATGAAAAAATAATCACTTCTGACAGTTGCATGGTTCTATTTCTGGTCTGGAGGTATTCTATTTTCGGTCTGGAGGTATTCTATTTTCTGTCTCTTACATTAGATATACAGTTCAAAGTATTTCTTATTTGTGGCTGGATTGATATTCTTCTGATCAATTATTGAGACATTTATGCTGACTTTTGTTTTAGTAGTCTTAGGTGGAAACAAACTGTCTTTGTTGCTTTGTTTGAATGCCATATATGGTGTTTGTGCTTTCTTACACTTGACCTCCCTAATTACAGTGCTAATTTTTGGATTGTTATTTTGAATAAATGGAGAACAAGCAAATGCCCTTTCTTCTCAAAAACCAGGATTCCAGTTTTATTTTAACTTCAACAAAACTTCTTTTATATATTTTCTCCTAGCTGAGTTTAGTGAAATATTTCTCCTTATTTACCATTATTCTATAACTCTGAATCTTGTTTTGCATATTTAACTAGACACCACCAAAACTGTGATGTGTAGCCATCGTATAATGGGTACTACTACTCATTTCATAGTCATAACTTTGAATATTTGGTACAGTGAAATACAGCTCAAAAGCCCGAATTGGCTCTTTGGCCAGAGAAAATTCGAAGAAAGTGTCTCTGATTCCAAAGTCTCTGCATGTGAAATGACAAGCAGAGGACATAGTAGTGCGATCAAAGTTGACGATTTCTGTGGCTTCAATTGGCCTTCTTCATACAGTGATATTGATGAGCAGAATCTCTTCCAGAAGTATGTTTTCAGAAAGGCATTTGTCTTTTACATGATAAACAGACGCTTTTCTTTGGTTTTGCAGAACCATATTTTCATGCCAGTCAATTTATCTCTAGTTCTAGTTCAGTCGGCTTTTTATGACAGGGCCTGAAATTTAGCTCATTTTTCTTTTCATTTTTCAGCCTGGAAATTTTGAGCTTGGCCTCAGCCCAGGCTTTACAGCGTACTGCATGCATGAAATATCTTTTAGATTCAGGAATTCTGCATAATTTGTTTGTTAACTTTTCACATAACCTTTTAAAATACTGGTTGGAGTTGGACTTGTCCTAAAATGCAGTTGAAGGGTCTGCAGACAATTAAATTGCATAAACTGAAATGGATCTGCATGTATTAACATAAATACAATAGATGACACAACTTTGCATTTTATTTTTTTGGAAGTTGGAACTATAGGAGCCCATCGTCACTCAAAATTGTGATTTTCATTTCTGTTAATCACTCCCCTTTATCACTTCTCTACCTTTTGGTTCTTGACTACCCCAGTAAAGGTAACTTCTATAAGTTTTTAGTCTCACATTAAGACTTTTTGGGTTTTCAAGGTACCTCTCAATGACTTCTGTTGAAGAAGGCAATGGTTGGTATGGTGGCACACTTGTCGGTGATCAAGATGAAAGCAGTGAGATATTCAAGCATTACCATGAATTATGTCAGGTAATATTATTGGCTGTCTGCTAAAGCAAGTTACATAAACTGAATCATTGAGGAAGATCATGTTTCTTTTAATATCCTGTCTGTGCTTGCAAATATATACTGAATCTGAAAAGAACCATTTTTATTGTTAGATTTCCATGCATGCAAGAAATGAAGAAAAACAAATATTCTACAATATTTCATTTTTCTTCTCTGTTTGAAATGAGCAGGGGGCAGTGATGGAACCCTTCCAAGATGATTTTGAGAGAGAGAAGCACTATGCTGAGATACTACGCATGAACATGGTTGACGTTTGGGAGGATGCTGCAGTCGAAGCAGAGATGACAGCAGCTCTGAAGGAATATGAACACATCGGTGCTGACCTTGGAATCATTCCTATGTCATGCAAGTCATTTGGAGATCCATGCCAGTTGACCAGGTGGATCGTTGGTGAGGACAAGCTGCAAAGGATATGAGAGATGTCCTGCCACGAAGCATATATATATATATATATACATACATACAAATACCGATTAATTTGATCGTAATATAAACAGAGTATGGGGTGATGTGGGAATCTTTATATTGTTGTCATTATAAATATTTTCTGAAGGTTTTTGTCACAAGAATTGAGAAGAACTCTTTTTACAAATCGGTGCAATGAGTTTTCCTCCATTTTACTCTAATCTTCGATGTCAGTCCCTGAGGATTGTTCTATGCTGCACCACCTAATACAGGAAATAACAATCCTCAGCTAGTTATTCTCGCACATCACAAGGATTCGAACTTGGTTGTTTCGTTTTTGATCATTTGGCCAAATACTTTTGTTGATCATAGGTGGAAAACTAACCTAGATCTTCTTGTGATTGATTCAGATACGTATGCAGAAAGTTTCATTACGTGAGAGGTGGAGGGATTTATCGACGCAACTAACAATAACGTCTTTAAAAATGATAATATATATTTTTTTATTAATTTTTCGATATTCAATAATTACATTAAATTTTAATTAATTTAAAATTAAATCATATCAAATCCTAATAGAGAGAGTTTTCTTGATTTTTTTTTATTTAAAAAATTTGAGATCTTATTTGAAAGAACTGAGCTCTTTTTATATGAACTAACAGATCATTAATAAAAATAATGATATTATTATTATTATTTTTTCCTTGATAGAATTATATTCTATTTTTATACCATTTCTTTATTCAAATTTACCATATAAATTAGAGTTTGTAAAAAAATAAATAGTCAAAGTCAGTGAGAGGGGATTGTTGATAAGCTAAGTACTTATTTTTCTCAAAAGCTGACATACTCATTAAGAATGTTTAGTAGCTTAGGGTACTTTTAAAGACCCCCTTTTTTTTTTTTTTTAATGTTGGTACTTTTATTTAGGCCAAAGGTCTATTTGCACCTTCCACTTAATTGTTTTTCACGGTCAACACCTTCCAAAATTTTTCCTCACTATTCACACCCTTAACTTTTCAAAACCCGTGAAAAACCCAACATTTTAACGTGCCGTCACGGTTCCGTTACAAAATGCACTACGTTGCACCATATGCCGTTAATAATCCAACGTGAATCTCTTTTTTAATGATGTGGCTTATTTTATATACGTGGACGCTGCATCATTAAAAATAAATTTGCATTACCATTTTGGGAATTTAGGGTTTATTTTCATCTTCTTCTTAATCTTCCTCGAGCTTTCCATCCATGATTCTAATGGACGTTGATTCAAATTGAAAAAAAAAAAAGAACAATCTTTAATTCATTTGCAAGAAACGTTGAGAACCAATCAAAGAATCAAATCGTCATCTTATTATTCTATCATAACCAGAAACAATCACAGAAAAGAAAGGCGAAAGAAAGGTACAAACTGGGTTCCTCACGAACCCAGCTCTGTGGAACCCAGAGCTGGGTTCGGCAAAAAAAACTAGCCGCAAGCCCCCCC